GCTTCTTGTTTATAATACTCCGTTGGTAACAGTTTATAGTGTTAAGCGTCCGTTACTTTGACTTTGTTGTATAGCCAATTTCAGTTCAATGTCAGAGTCAACATTATATAGTGTTAAGCTTCTGTTAATTCTAAAATCACAGTTTTTTTTAAACATATATAACTAGTTATATATGCTCCTTGTTTATATATAATACTCCGTTGATAACATTTTATAGTGTTAAGCGTCTGTTACTTTGTCTAAGTGGCAATTTCTAAGTTCTTCTAGTTGTCCTGTTTAAAGCGTTGACTCTATATGTATGAATTGCTTCTTTTCGGTTGCTGCATGGCTTTGGTGTTCCAGGTGATACCTGCTTTTGAGGAGGCTGTCTCTGGGATGGCTATTGGTGGTATCAGAAGGTTCGACATTTTTCTAATATCTCTCACTCGGAAGTTTATCATTCGGAAGTTCATATAGTAAACAGAAACTTACCTCCTTGAATATGAATTCTAGAAGAAGAGAATCTGAGTCTCATACAAATGATTTATGGTAAAATGTATCAGTGCAATAAATAAGCTTGGTGTTGCAGGATTATTGTACCGCCAGAAATCGGATACCCGGAAAACGACTACAATAAGAGTGGGCCGAGGCCGACAACTTTCTCTGTGAGCTTCTTTTGTTTTTGTTTTATGGTATGGTATGTATAAAGCTGGTAATGTTAGCTTTCCCTTACCAGCTTTATGGATTTGTAACGAAATGGTAGCATTCTTATGGAGTTTCTTCCTAGAAGCTTGGACCAGCTTTTGAGTCTAGGGATATTAAAATGGGTTTAAGTCAATAGGTCCAGGCGTAGTGGTGAATATATTCACTTTTCAGTATTCAAGAACACAATTATCATGCTAAAGATAAATATGAATATTCCTTGGTTAGATTAGTTACACTTTTCAAATTTCATACGCTTTCTCGATAAAAATAAATATGAACACAAACCAGTTTTAAGCTTCTGTTGTTTGACTTTTGTTGTATTGCCAATGTCAGTTCAATGTCAGAGTCAACATTAATGGAAACTGT